TCATGAAACAGGCCACGAGATACCCCAGGGACTCTTCGGGCCTCACGGAAGGAAGCAGGACCCCTTATTGAGCGCCCAGGAATCCGTCCGTAATCATCAAAGGCCGTTTTCGGTCGCTGTAGGTAAGTCCACCATCGCAATGAGGTTGGGTCCTTCGCTGGGCTGCTGAAGCCGCACAATAATATAGCATTTGCGCGTGCCGTTTGAGGTGTGTGTGTGTGTGTGTGTGTGTGTGTGCCACCGATGGGTTTGCAGTGGTGCCGGTTGGGTGGGCCGGTGGAACGGGGTGCGGCGGCGGCGGCGGCAGGGGGGGTGAGGGGTGAGGCTTGTGGGTAATATTAACTAATGTATATTCTATAAAAGAATACCCGTCCACCACCCCTTCCCCCCCATACCGCCGCTGCCAATCCCGTGCCATCACATCGCCCCTTTTTTCCTGTTCTATTCCAATATAGGACATCCACGATTATCAGAAGGCTTGCCAGCAGTTCAGGGCCGACCCCGACGGCCAGGTCAAGGACAGGCTCATTCCCATCGTGCACAAAGCGAGGTTCACAGAGTTGACGGCCATCCTTATGGTGTTCTACATAGAACACAACACGTCTAACAAAATGAAGTTGCGCAACCTGTGGAAAAACGCCATCAAACAATACACGCAGAAGTACGACGGTGCGATCCCGCTGTGGCTCCAGAAGCAGGCCGACCTTGTGGCCAAGATGAGGTGAGGGTTGCACCAACTTTGGTAACGTGGAGGAAGTAGGAGGATGGAGGACGCAAGGAGGAGGGGGGGGAGGAGGAGGAGGAGGGTGCGTTTGAGGAGGCGAACGGGGAGGAGGAGGAGGAGGAGGAGGAGGAGGAGGAGGAGGAGGAGGAGGGAGGGGATGGGGGAGGAGGAGGGGAGCGAGGAGGAGTGAGGAGGAGGACGGAGGAGGAGGAGGAGGAGGTAGGAGGAGAGGAGGAGGAGGAGGAGGAGGGAGGAGGACTGGCGGGGATGGGGGGCGAGGAGGACGGGGGAGGCCGAAGGCGAAAGGGAGTGGGGGAGGAGGGGAAGGCCGAGGAGGCGGGGCAACTTAGATCCCTCCTCCACGTCCCCCTCCCCCTTCCACCCTCGCATTCCTCTTCTCATCCCCTTTCTCATCCTTCCCCCTCGTCGTCGTGTTCCTTCTTCTCCTGATCCTCCTCTCCCCCTCCCCCCCCCAGTCAGGGGGGGGAGGGGCCTGAATTTTTTGCGGGCGTCAAGCCCGACGCCCAGCCCGACCCTCAGCCCGACGCCCGCCCGCGTCAAGCCCGACGCCCAGCCCGACGGGCTGGCCGAGGCCCGACGCCCGCCCGACGCTTGCCCGACACCTGGCGCGGCGAGGAAGATGAGGAGGACAAACGGGATGAGGGATGGGGGAGGGAGGAGGACGGGTCGAGGAGGAAAAGGGGTTGTAAGGAGGTGGGTCGAGAAGGACGGGTCGAGGAGGAGGACGGGTCGGGAGGAGGACGGGTCGAGGAGGAGGACGGGTCGAGGAGGAGAAGGAGGACGGGTCGAAGTGGAGGGCGGGTCGAGGAGGGCGGGTCGAGGGAGGAGGAGGACGGGTCGAGGGGCGAGTTGTATTCATCGCCATCGTTTTTCGTCATTCCTCCTCGTCCCTGCTCCTCCCTATCATCCTCCCCTCCCTTCCCCTCTCGACGACTCGACTTGGCGATTCGACTCGACTCGGCGATTCGGCTCGACCATTCTTCTCGACCCGTTGCGGCGCGATTCGATTCGCTAGTATGATGGGCTTGCGCCACGTCCGCCGACCCCTGGGGAGGGGGATCGATGGGGGACGAGGTAACCCAAGGTGGCAAGGGGGGGATGACGAGTCGGCGGGGGACGAAACAACTTTGTAACCCAGTGCAATCTCACAATATCCCTCGCCCCCGTCCTCGTCGATCCCGGCATCATTATATCCCCTCCTCGTTTTTTGTTGTATCGATGTTGGTTCAAACGGCGCTTTGATTCATTGCCTGCGCGGCGATGCTGTCATACGCTGCGCGCGTCGCTATTTACGCGCACTTGCTTTTTAGTTTGGTGATTGCAAATGGATCGACATCGCGCGCGATATTGCCCGCCTGTTTGTGCGTTTCTTACAGATGTTTTTTTTTTTGTGTTTAACATTATTTTACATAACATGTTTTTTCTATGTTTTTTTCATGTTTGATGCGTTTCGCCCTGCTACCTCGCTTCGAGGCACCTGCGCGTCTTAACCCCAGGGCGGTCTCGACGACACTCTGGCGCCGCCTTTTGCGGCGCCCCATGGAGCGCTCCGCGACCCAGGGTTGGGTTGTGGAGGCCACCCCGGGCTACTTGGAGAGACCCGTTGAGGCCGGCCGGGACTTCCCTGGAAGGGGGGGGGTTGGCTGTGCGCAGCCCTGAACATTGCCAGGCCCGCCCCGAGGTTCTTCTTCGCGTGCTGGCATCGCCCCGAGTTCCAGTCATCCAGCGCCAGGAGCTTAACCCCACCCTCCCCCACCTACTCCCTGGTGTCGGGGGTGGCCACCATGCAGGCGGGGTGGTCGCCATGAGCTCCTCTGGGCATATCGTTCCCTTGGCATTGCGCGTGCAGTGCAGAGGATTCGCTACCTCCAAGTCGGGTGACAAGCTCCCTTTTCTATGGCATATCCCCAGGAAGAGCTTGGAGGTATCGACGCTCTCTGGGGGCATCTTTTCTGGGAGATGTTCCAGCTTTGGCCAGTCTCTCCCTTTCTTCAAGCACGTTCTAGACGCTTCGCGTAGCCCCGCCAGCCCATCCAGAAATGACGCCCAGACGAGTTGCCCTGACCATGGATGTGGACGAGAATGCAGTGGAACAACGGGCTGGGTAAGACCCTAAGGCGTCGTACCCCAATAAGGGGAGGATAGAGGAGGAATCTCAGGAGGAGGAGGAGGAGCAGGAGGAGGAGAAGGGGGAGGAGGAGGAGGAGGAGGAGGAGGAGGAGGAGGAGGTGGAGGTGGAGGAGGAGGAGGAGTAAGAGCAGGAGGAGGAGGAGGAGCAGGAGGAGGAGCAGGAGGAGGAGGAGGCGATTCAGGTCAAGGATCGATTCAGGTCAAGGATCGATTCAGGTCAAGGATCGATCAGGTCAAGGATCGATTCAGGTCAACGTACCTCCTTTCCCGCACATCCGCCCCTTTCAGTCTTCGATTCGTGGTGGTGCACGGTCATGGCGTGGAACGGCTGGGGAATTTCCTCGGGCCGTGCGGGTGGGCAGCGGGGGCAAGGTTGGGAGTCGCAGTGGTGGCAGTGTTCGCGTCAATACTGGAACCTGAAGGGGAAGAACAAATGTAGGCGTTGCGTCCTCAAGAAGGGCTGGGCCAACGCAGCAGGCGGGGGAGCAGGAGATAAGGGAGGAGCGCATCAGCAGGGAGACCATTGTGGGCAACCTCATACCCTCACCCTCGCGGACTTCTGGCCGGAGCTGCCGCGGTCGTCGCAGCCGCCGGCGTCGCCAGGAACGATCGGGACCAGGATGGACCTCAAAAAGATAGTAACCTGGGTTTATTGCGTTCTGGGATTATCGACCAGGGTTCATACTGACTCGCCCAGATCATCATGAACCTGTGTTTCAACGTTCTGGGAATATGGACGGGTTCATAATGTTCCCCCCCGAACATTCTAAACCCTGGTTTATAATGTTCTGGGGATATCGACCCCAAAAACATATTAACCTGGGTTCATGATGTTATGGGAATATTGGCTGGGGTTATTGCGTCCTGGGAATCATTCCGGGATGATAGTAATTATATGCTTCCCCCCAAGCCACGGGTGTCCCACAAGGTTTTTCATGTCGCAATATGGATCCTGGCTTGTTATACCCAGGAGATTATAAACCCAGACCTATAATGTTGCCGGAATATTGACCCCAGGTTAATTATTCTGGAATGATAATGATTGAGCCTGGGGGGCGCCGTTTGAGAGTACGTTCCAGACTGAAATAAACCCTGGTTCAGAATGTTGGAATCGTAAAGTTAGGTCGATGATTTCGGAAAGATAATGATTCGGCTGGGGGTGGGGTGTTGAGCCCGATCCATACACAGGATAATAATCCATCGGGTATCATCCGAAGATAATGAACCTAGGTTTCTATTCCTAGATAATATACCACGATCGACGAGCAGTTCACACGTACCCTCATCGGGACCTCGGAGAACCTAAAGGTGATGGGCGTCGAGGGGAACGTGGGCGTCAGCATCGTTTCCCCGAACCTGGCCAGGGAGATCGGGCAGGCGGATTCAGGACAGGCTGTGCCAACCTCCGCGGACATCAAGGTTCTCGAGCTTACGCTCAAAGGTTTGCCTTCTGGGGATCCTCCCGGAGTGACGTGGAGGCCCAGATCGCGGCTGCGAAGCGGGCCATCACGCAGAGCAAGCCACCGTCGTTTCATTTTGCATCGTGTTCGGCGGCGCTGGAAAGGGCGAAGGCGCGGCACTTGCAGGCGAAGCTCGTGCTGCAAGACGCCACCAAGGAGGTCACGGCAGCCGAAGTTGCAGTGGCATCCCCCGAGGCGGAGTGCAAGAAACCGCAGACGCAGATCGCTACATCTTCCGGCCGGCGGGACTGCTTGCAGAGCATGTCTGATGCTTTGAAGGACGCTTTTGCACGACATGCAGGCGCCCCCGGTGGTGCCTCAGCACATCGTGGACGAGGCCAAGAGCGCCATGAGCACGCTGTACCACAATTTGGTCGCAGTGGCCGCTGAGGCGCAGAAGAAGAGCGCGGAGCAGGCCAGTGGGCCGGAGGCGCATTCGCCGCCTCGCAAGCTCATTCGGTCCAGCTCTTCGCCGGCACTTTCGCCAGCGAGGGTGCCAGCAGGGAACGGGGACGATGACTCCGTGTTTCACGAGGCCCCGGAGACAAAGGTCGGGACGTCCAACGGGCATTACCGAGTGACGGGCAAGCATGCCTCCGCCTCCCTGTTCGCAACGCCTTGTCCTCCTGATTTTCAGTGTTGACAGATGGCGTCGGCCGGTCATAGCGTGAAGCGTCCTATGGCAGATGTCCCGCCGGGGGCGCTTGGGAAGAGTGGCCGTTCGACCAATAACGAAATTGTATTCACTTGTTGTTTTGCGAACGTGTTTAGTTTTCAAAAGACTCAATACGCCCAGATGTGGCCAACACCTTAGTAAGCTCAACGATGTTGGCCTTCTCGCCGGGGCCTCTCGGGGCGCCCTGGATGCCCTGTGGGGGTCTTCTGGGAGCCTCTTGGGGGCATCTTGGGGGCCTCTTGGAGGCCTCTTGGGGCCTCGTTGGCACCTCTTGGGGCCCTCTTGGGGCACCTGTTGGGAGCCTCGGGGTCCATTTGGGGGCCATCTTGGGAGAGATCGATCACAGGACATGCAGTAGTATATTAGCCCCCCCCCCCCCCCCTTGGAGGCCGACATATGGCCCAATCCGTGGTAAAATCAATGATTTTGGCTTCCTCGTCGAGGCCTTCTTGGACGCTCCAACCCCTTGCGAACCACCCCCATCCAAGCCCAGGGGGGATGAGTAGGGGTCAAGACACCCTCCTAGATGATTTGGCAAGCCGTCTATCTCACTCCCACCCGCCCTCCCGACATGTAATTAACACCCGAACCTCAGCATGTTCAGCAATCGTCTTTGGATGGGCAGCTACTGGGAACGAAAACCGAACCCATGTGCGCGACGCTGGGGCGAGGTGCGCCACGCGTGCAAGGCGCACCACGCGCGCCAGGCACCGTTGGGGCCCGAGCGTGCCAGGCACGCCTGGTGCACCAGATGCGCCACGTGCCTCCGCGCGCGCCAGGTGTGCCGCATACTCCAGCCGCGCCAGGTGCGCCGCGTTCGGGGCACGTGCAGAGTGTGTCAGGTGCGCCTGCGCACGTGAGAGCACACATCGGGAAACATGTCGGCTCCCACCATCCATGTCGAAAACCAACAATTCGCCATCATATTGTGTCTGATGCGCCTGCGCCCAGCAAACCATACGCCACCGCAGGGTGGCCGCGCACGATCCCGATTTAGCCGCGAGGTGCATTTTATCTGGTTTTTCCCCATATCCTAAGATGGGGTTCTTGTTATTACTTGGACGCCTCCTCCTCCTCCTCCTTCCTCCTCCTCTTTTCTCCTCCCCTCCTGTCGGACATACTCAGACTTGCTCATACACAGACTTACTCATACTCAGACTTGTTCATACTCAGACCTACTCATACTCAGACTTACTCACATTCAGACATACCCATATACAGACTTACTCATACACAGTATTAGTCATACCCAGACGTACACATACACAGACTTACTCATACACAGACTTACTCATACTCAGCACCCCTAAGGGGAGCCGCCCGGGGTGGTTGCACGGGCTCGTTCGCGGCCATTTTGTGGGGATGTCTCAGGCGGTTTGCCTGTTTTTGTGCCCAACATCCTTCGCTTTCGGAGCAGATTTGGAGGATGTCTCGAGCGAGGCGCTCATTTCAGCATCCCTAAGGGGAGCCGCCAGGGGTGGTTGCACGGGCTCGTTCGCGGCCATTTTGTGGGGATGTCTCAGGCGGTTTGCCTGTTTCTGTGCCCAACATCCTTCGCTTTCGGAGCAGATTTGGAGGATGTCTCGAGCGAGGCGCTCATTTCAGCACCCCTAAGGGGAGCCGCCAGGGGTGGTTGCACGGGCTCGTTCGCGGCCATTTTGTGGGGATGTCTCCGGGCGGTTTGCCTGTTTCTGTGCCCAACATCCTTCGCTTTCGGAGCAGATTTGGAGGATGTCTCGAGCGAGGCGCTCATTTCAGCACCCCTAAGGGGAGCCGCCAGGGGTGGTTGCACGGGCTCGTTCGCGGCCATTTTGTGGGGATGTCTCAGGCGGTTTGCCTGTTCCTGTGCCCAACATCCTTCGCTTCTCGGAGCAGATTTGGAGGATGTCTCGAGCGAGGCGCTCATTTCAGCACCCCTAAGGGGAGCCGCCAGGGGTGGTTGCACGGGCTCGTTCGCGGCCATTTTGTGGGGATGTCTCAGGCGGTTTGCCTGTTTCTGTGCCCAACATCCTTCGCTTTCGGAGCAGATTTGGAGGATGTCTCGAGCGAGGCGCTCATTTCAGCACCCCTAAGGGGAGCCGCCAGGGGTGGTTGCACGGGCTCGTTCGCGGCCATTTTGTGGGGATGTCTCAGGCGGTTTGCCTGTTTCTGTGCCCAACATCCTTCGCTTTCGGAGCAGATTTGGAGGATGTCTCGAGCGAGGCGCTCATTTTCACCCCCCAGGTGGGCCAGATTTTGAGGATGTCTCGATCGGTTTGCCTGTTTTGGTGGCCAGGCTCGTGGGCGCAGATTCTTCTCAGGATGCCACAGGAGGCCCAACAGGCTCCAGGAGGCTCCAGGAGACCACATGAGGTCCCAGGAGGCATCAGGAGGCCACAGAAAGACTCAAGAGGCCACAGGATGTCCCAAGAGGCTCCAGGAGGCCCCAGGAAGCTCCAGAAGGCCTCAGGAAACCACAGGAGGCCCCAGGAGGCAACAGGAAGCGCCAGGAGGCCTCGGAAGGCAACAGGAGGCCCCGAGAGGCCCCAGGAGCAGGAGGCCTCAGAAGGCAACAGGAGTGGCTCCAATCCCATGTGTTTTACGTATGCTCCTATCGATTGGGCCTCACCTGGAGCACGATTCTTTGATGTTCTACGTATGTTTCTATAGATGGTCCTTCTCCTGTGTACACAATCCTAAATGTGTTACTCATGTTCCTATGTATTGGGCCTCTCCTGGGGCACGAGTCCTTGGTGTTTTACGCGTGTTCCTATAGATTGCCCTTCTCCTGTGGCTCTAATCCGCAATGTTTTATGTACGTCTGTTGCTATAGATTGCGCCTCCCCTGGGGCACGAAACCTTCCTAGGAGGTCCCAGGAGGTCCCAAGAGGCTCCTGGAGACCCCAGGAAACCCCAGTAGGTTTCAGGAGGCCCCAGGAGGCCCAGGCTCATGCACAGAGACGCGCTCGTACTACTGAGGCTCATTCACACTCCAATTCATTCGCAGTTAGATTGATGTCCAGACCGTCACAACTGAAGCCCGTTAATATTCGAAAGCTCTTGCGGCTAGACATTCACGGCGGACAGGTCCATGCGAGTAGATGCACATATGGGGAGCTCCACGCAGTGAATAATTCTCTAAGGGATGGTAGCCCTGCGTGCAGCAGGCAATATGCTGACACCCCCGCTGTCCCTGTCAAAACACACTACCAAGTGCTCGCGGGCCTCACGAACATGACTCCAGATTTTGCCCCAAAGTGTATGTTGTATTGGTTTTGACAGGGATGGTGGCGTTGGGGTCCTCATGGGGTCACTATTGTTCCTGATTGGCTGCCGGTCGCCTGGGGGACGGGGTGTATATTAATAGGGAACAGTGAGAAAGCCCACCCCGAAGGGGACAACGGGTGGATGGAAGAGGAAGTACTCTAAATCACTCACGCCCTGAATGGCTGGTGGGACTTTCTTCGCTCTGCCTTCGCCTCCCCCTCCGCATCGGCTTTCCCCTCCGGCTGGGCCTACTTCTCGCAGCGTCTACACTATGCCGCGGTGCGTCGATGGTTCATCGGACGACCATGCACGCGTCAGGGCAGCGAGGTCACCAAGGAACGGGGGAGCGAGAGGACGAGGAGAGGAGGGCAGGGGGGCAGAGGTGCAGAGGGGGAGAGAGAGGACGAGGGGGAGACAGCAGAGGGAGAGGAGGGTAGATGAGCAGAGGGGCAGCGAGGGGAGAGGACGAGGGGAGGGGCAGAGGACCGGGAGAGGACGAGCAGAGTGGGAGCGAGAGGAGAGGATGAGGGGGAGACAGCAGAGGGGGGGGGACAGTAGAAGAGGATATTGGAGGGGGAGGCAGAAGAGGGGGAGGGGAGCGACAGGGCGCTCCGTCCGCCTCGCGAGGGCCGCGGGCTGCTGCGATCCTCCTCCTTACCGGGCTCCTTCTCTTCGTCTCCGACCTGACCATGCGTGTTCCACTCCGCCTCCCTTCCCCTTGTCCTCCTCCTCCTCCTCCTCCTCCTCCTCCTGAGATTCCTCCTCCTCATCCTCCTCCTCCTTCTCCTCCTCCTCCTCCTCCCGCGCCCCCCTCCTCCTGCCCGCCTCCTTTCCTTCTCCTGCCGCCCCCCCTCCTCCTCCCGCCGCCCCCCCCCTCTCCCTCCCCCCGTCCTGCCCGCTCCCTCTCCCTCCCATGCCCCCCCCTTCCCCCCCCCCCCTCCCTCTCCTCCCCTTCCCTCTCCGCCCCCCCCTCCCCCTCGCGACAGAGACCCCGGGCGCGCCGCTGGAAGTGCAGGGGCCCCTGCGGCCCGCGCACGGCCGCCGCTGCGGCCGTCGCACGGCGGCGACGTGCGCCCTCCGCGCCTCGCGCGCCCTCCGCCCGCCGCCGCGCCGCGCCCCTCTCGGCTCGAGCCCGTGGCTCAGATGCGAAGCCTGTCGGCTGCGAAACCCCCTCTCCGTGTGGTGGGCGGGAGGGGGGAGAAGGTAGAGGAGGAGGAGGAGGAGGAGGAGGAGGAGGAGGAGGAGGAGGAGGAGGAGGAGGAGGAGGAGGAGAGGAGGAGGAGGAGAGGGAGGGGGGAGGAGGAGGAGAGGAGGAGGAGGAGGAGGAGGGGAGGAGGAGGAGGAGGAGGAGGAGGAGGAGGAGAGGGAGGAGGGAGGAGGGAGGAGGGAGGAGGGAGGAGGGAGGAGGGGAGGAGGAGGAGGAGGAGGAGGAGGAGGAGGAGGAGGATGAGGACGAGGAGGACGAGGGGGCCGCGGCGCCGAGGGGCGCGGCCGCTGCGGTCCTGCGCCCGCCCGTGCCGTCCGAATCTGGCTCGCCGGGTTCCTGGGGGGTGCGATGCGGTCGGACCGAGGCAGGAGGTTTTTGTTTGGACTCAACGCCCTCACTTCAGAGCGTGAATTACCTACCC